GCTGCGCTCTAGGCCTGGCTCTTATATAGGCCTCTGCCTAGCAGTGACTCACAAGGGTGCCTGACCCACCCAAATAGGAGCCACCTGAATCAAAAGCCCCCAACTCCCTGTGACCAGGGCAACTCAGGGAGCTCGTTAGCAGCAGCCCCACCTAGCTAGAACTTCCCAGGAGCAGTTTAGTCAAGGTCCCCTGCAGGAGTCCTTGCCTAGCTCTTCCTTCCTGCTAGCAGCAAGCACTGTCTAGTTCCTCGGGGGTCCCCAGAAAGTCTCCACAACTTCCAACAAGGCCCACAAAAGGCCCAGGCAGAGCCCAGACACTGCTGCACAAAGTGCTGTGTCTGTTCGCTGCCTCTCTTGGCTGCGCTGTTGGATGCTTTGGACATGGTGGTGGTGACACAGATGTGTCCTGTCGTTGCCTGTAGTGACTGCTGCCAGACAGAGAACTGCGCCTTCTGGAAGCGGTTGACTTCTGTGGTGAGGTGCTCTTCATCATGTCTTCATAGAGGCTCTCCAGCTGTAGCATCTCCCCCTTGCATGGCATCAGCTTCAGGCCCAACATGATGCTGCTGAAGATGTAGTTGAAGGGGCTGGAGAACATTATGGCCAGGGAAAAACTGTCTGCCTTGTAGATCAAGACCTCCATGCTACTGTGCAGGCTGTAGTCCTGCTTCACAAAGATGCACTTCGCTGTGGTACATGGGAGGAATCCGCAATGGTGGGGGGTTGTGGCTGTGGCCACTGAAGCAGTAGTTTCTGTTGGGGAGACAGATGGGGGGAGTGGGGTTGGGGGACACCAGGAATGGGATACCCTGGTGGCCTCCACCCCAATGGGTGCCATCTTTGGTACCCATAAAACTGTCTGCCTCTGCTGCTAGTGATTCGCTGACAAGCAAGGGTGGTGTAAGGGCTGTTGGCTTTGCACTTCCTTGCTTTGCTTATCTCAGCAGGGCTGGAGGGAGGCATGAAACTGCTACATGCATTAGGAGGATAGGAAACCCTGGGAAACTGCCCACCAGGACATGCTAGCAGGATGGGTTTGGGGGTCAGCGTGGGGGAAGCCCACTGTGAGGAGCGGAGGCAGCCAGAGGATTTTACCTGGGGTTTTGGAGTATCACAGTCTGCATATTGTTGGTGATCTCAGTGTTCACCCACTGGCAGATAACAATGTCTTTCATCTGCAGCTTGATGCCCTGTGCCATTGGGAGCTCTGTGCCTGAGGGGAAGCCTTACCACAGCTGTCAAGGACCATGTGGTGCTAGCAAAGTGCCCAGGAGCCCATGGGGTGGCTAAGGCACCGATGGAAGGCATAGATATGCAAATAAAAGTGGGAGGAGCTACCTCCCCACCAATGGAAGCCCTGCATGCTCATTGGGTGGCAACAGTCACTGACTGGCTTCTCTCCAAGTCTCAAAGTGTTCACATGAAGCAAGGTGATGGTTTTTGCCTGACTCTGCATGCCACTGTAGGCTTGATTGGCAAGGTATATAAAGATAATTGCATACAGGTAGATGCACATAAACACCCACCCATATATATGTATATATGTGTGTATATATGTGTATATATATATAAATATATAAAATGCATATTATATGTATGGAAATTGGTAAAGAAAGCATTGGTGGGAAACATACATGTGTACAGACATAGGGGTGTATGTGTGGGGGTGTGTATGTATGCACACTCTTATAGATACATATACTGTACATACACATATACTGTACATATACATATACTGTACATATACATATAGATGCATATGCATACTTATATCTGCATTCTGTCAATTTATGCAGTGGAAGTCATTGTTGTTATGGGACCAAAAGGCAGTCAAAGGGGGGATGACAGCACCATTTAATCAGGTATAAACATTTAGCAAACTCAGTAAGTGCTAAATGGCTTGGTGCCTTGTGTTGGTCATTAATGCACTGCAACTGAATCAGATGAGCTGGAAAAAGTCACTGGCCCCATGCTGGCTACAGCAGGACGAGGGCCTCTGCAGGACAGATGTTTTCAGTCATTGATTCTCCATGTGTCGTTGGTTTGCATCTGGGTTACCCTTTTAATCACAAGTTCCCCTCAAACCTGTCTCCGCAGAGGCACAGCAGTTTCACTGTGCCCCCTTGCCTACAGCAGCCCATCCCAAGCAGCTCCTCATCCCAGCCCGCAGACATGGACCATCTCCACAGATCAGTTGCTTTTTACCGGCCCTTAGCATCTGTGGCAAAGCAGCTCCCCAGGGCTGAGAGAAGCTTTCAGGGACTTTTTAAATCTGATGATGCCCATGGTCTGCAAAGCTAAGGGACAGTGTGCCACACTGATGTGCTCTGACTTGTCCCAGAGAGGCCAGATGCTCTGTGCACCTGGGGCCCTGCAAGATGTGGCCAGGCAGGAGGTGACACCACTTCTGGTCCTGAGGTGCCCAGGCTAACCATCACTTATTCCTGGCAGAAGAGAGACAGCTGATGTCCTGTGGACAGGAAAACTTGTACCAACTTGTTCCGCAGAGCCAATGTCTGTCTGCCTGTTAGTGGCTAGCAGTTTCCCTCAGCATTTTTGCCCTGTTTGGGTTAAAAAGGCATTAAGAGCTACTGTGAGCATGTCAGGAAGGGCCAGTTTATTTTTATGTATATATCAAATATTAAAGGCATCTGGGATTTGAAGTCCTTCTCTGCACATGTTGTCCCCAGGGGCAAGGATGGAGGGAGAGGACCTTGCACCAAGGTGCTGCCTCATGAGGTGATATCAGGGAGGAAGCTGCAGTTGTCCTCCCGTCCTCCCTGGGGCTTATCCTGGAGCAGTGTAATTCCCTTGGCTTCCTGGGTGGCTTCATTTGGAGGCTCCTCTGTGGCCTCTGCCTTGGCTGTGTGGTGCTCACCTCCCTGGATCCATTGTGTCCCTTGGGAGTTCAGCTCCACCTCGTTGCCTGCAAAGCAGAATGGCATGGCGTGGGGGCATTCCCACTCATCAGGGAGCCTGGGTCCTACAGGACAGGGACCCTCTTTCCTAGGACAGAGTCGTGGGGTTGCACAAAGCTTTGGTGACCTGTCCCCAAAGTTGTCATTGGCGCAGAGTGTGAGGGACTGAACAACACATGGCTACCTGCTGCAGGAAGGGGCAATGCCTCTGACCACACCGTGCTCAGCTCTCAGGGTGGGGGAAGGGGGCCTCTTACCTGGGTGGTGGAGGACTTTGTACCTCTTTCTCCTCCATTTCAGGAAGAGGACAGCCCCACTCAGCAGCACCAGAGTCAGCGATACCACCAGCCCCAGCAGCAGAGGCACTGACAGAGGGATGATGTAGCTGGACATGGCTGTACCTGGCAGAGAAAGTGAAGCAGTGAGCTCAGCACCTCCTTGCATGTCCCAGTGCTGCAGCCAAGCACCCACACCTGCAGTCCCTTCCTAGATCCCTGCCCAGCAGATGAAGGTCACTTTTAGTCCCATCCTCCAAAGATTAGTCCTCACCCCAGGACCCTTGGGCTGGCTCCATCCATCTTCTGGAGAGCCAAAACACAGCCTGCAGTGCTGCTGGGCTGGTACCTGGGGACAGCACTACCTGTGCACACCACGCCGGCGTCCTCCCCATGGTCACAGTTGTGCTCTCCCCATTCCTTGGTCCTGCACTCAGAGAGGGCAGCCTCCCTCCCGGTGCACTTGACATCATCCAGCCAGATGGGGTCAGCCCCTGGGCCAAATGCTGCTGACCCCAGGGCTGAGACGGCTGCCCCACAGCCCAGCTGCCGGCACACCACGTCGGCATACACCAGCTTCCAGTCATCATCACACACAGTTCCCCACCGCTGGGCATGCAGCACCTCTACTCGCCCCACGCAGCGGCTCGAACCATTCACCAGCCGGATGGTGGGGGCCTCTGCAACAGAAAGAAAACAATTAAGGGGCTGTTTCCTGCAGGGCTTTGAGGTATCAAAAGGGCTCAGAAAGAATGGCTGAGAGGCCACACAGAAAAAGTCTCCAGGACCTTTATGCTGCAGGCAGCATTGCTCTGAGCAGTGGGAACTGTGTAGGAGCCTCAAGTTGTACCCCAGAAAAGGGTTTCTGTGTTCCCTCTCATCTCTGGAGGCAGGACAGGCCAATCATTCCCTGGATTTTAAGTTCTCTTCCAGGAAGGCCTTGACAAAACAGAGCTCTTGACATTACAAAACGCTCATAATCTAGAAGTGCTTTTTTTGGCTCCAGCTATGTCCAGCAGAGACTCAACTCAGCTCTCAAAGGACACAGATCTTACAGTAAGTCCAGTGCCAACTGCTAGTTCTGTGCAAATGTCTTGGATTCCCCTCAAATGACATTCATGCTAAGGGAACTCATCTCTGGAAGTGCCTGTCTTTCTCCATAGGCCAGAGGGGGTGCCCAGGGTCTTAAATTTGTCAGTGGGAGAGGTGGGGGACCACTTTCCAGGATGTCCTAAAGGGCAACCTTGAAGGCAAAGAGAAGTTGTGGTGGCAGTTAGAAGGACATTGCAGGGAATCAGAGGCCATCACTAAGGTCACTCCCAGCCCTGCAGAAAGATCTGCTCCAGGGGAACTTGGCTCCTGTACACAGCCAGGACACTGACAGCTGAGACCTCTCAACCTACAGTCCCTCCAGTCCCGGGAGCAGTGAGGTCTCTGGTCCCCTTGCTAGGATATGCCATGCCTGGACCTGGGGGCACTCAGCACCTTAGCAGCTGCAACTTCTGTCTCAGAAGGGGCATTTCACTGTGTAAGACCACCAGCAACTGCCCTGGCTCTACTTGCTGAATGTGTATTACCTGAGCATACCACACTGGCATCTTCCCTGTGGGTACATCCATGGCTCCCCCATGGCTTGGCTGCGCACTTGGAGAGCACATCTTCTGTTCCAGTGCAGTCCAACTCGTCCATCCAGATGGGGTCGTGACCTTGCCCAAACTGTGCCTGCCCAGGGGCCGAGATGGCTGGGCCACAGCCCAGCTGCCTGCACACCACCTCTGCCTCCTCCATGCCCCAGCCGTGGTCACACACACTGCCCCACCGCCGCTCATGCAGCACCTCGACCCTCCCCATACAGGGACTGGAGCCGTTCACCAGCCGGAGCTCAGTTGGGTCTGAAAGGGGTTAGAGAGAGAAGCACTGGGAGGAATATCTGCATTTGCCCAGGGTCTACCACGCACTGTGGAAGAAGGTCTGGGCTTCTCCTTCCCACGTGCGTAAGGCCTGCTGTCTGATTTGGGAGTTGCTAGGGCCTTTGGGAACAACCAGCAGGCATTCACCAAGGGCAAATCATGCCTGCCCATTGTGATTGCCATTGGTGATGAGTTGAGTAGCTATGTGGGGAAGGTGAGAGCAGTGGATGTTGTGTACCTTGACTTTAGCAAGGCTTTTGACACTGACTCTCATAGTATTGTTAGCGATAAACTGGGAATATATGGACTGGAGAAGTGGATGGTTAGGAGGGTGGGAAATTGACTGGATTGCTGGCCTGAAAAGAGGGTCAAAATCCATCTGGTGGCCAGTTACTAGTAGCATCCCTCAAGGGCGTGATGCTCGGGCCAAGGCTGTTTAATGTTCTTTACTAATGAGCCCAACAACAGGACAATGTTCACTCTTGACAGGTTCAAAGATGATTCCAAGTTGGGTTTTGCACCAGTGCTGTGCTAGGGCCCCTTTGCAGCACCAGCCTGCTCCTGCTTCTCCTGGCATAGGATCAGCAGAGACTCAGAGGAGAGGGTGGACCCCTACCACCACTCTCCCGTCCTCCATCACACTGTTGCCCACAGCCTGGTAAGGAGTTTACACCAAAGAGGGTTACCTGAGCACTCAACGCTGACATCTTCTCTGTGATGGCATGGCTGAACTCCCCATGGTGTGCCCGGACACTCAGAGAGTGTGGCTTCTGTCCCCAAGCAACTCATGTTCACCAGCCAGATGGGACCCTGTCCTTGTCCAAAGTGAGCCTTGCTGGGAGCTGAGAGTGCCAGCCCACAGCCCAACTCCCGGCACAGCACTTCTGCGTCCTGCACATCCCAGCCCTCAGCACACATGCTGCCCCATGTCTGGTTGTGCAGCACCTCGACTCTCCCCATGCAGGGACTGGAGCCATTCACCAGCTGGAGTTCTGGGGTGAAAGAGACAGACACCCACTGAAATGTAAATACAGAACTAGAAGAGACTCCAGTGCCCCTGCACCAGTGTCAGGAGGCCTTAGAAAATCATCATGTCCTGCATGGGTGGTCAAGGGTGAAGCTACCTCCGGACCCAATTACACCACTTATCTGAGGTGCCTGCAGTTCATGGCCATGATCAATAACACATGGGCAGGTTAGAGGACTAAGAGTCCATCTCCTGCCAAAGTGACATTCATCCCAATAGGAGCCGGAGCCCTATGTGACACCACTCCTGATACTTCAAAGCATGCTGTGGCAGGGCCGTGGGGTGGGGGAACAGGGCAGTTTGCCATTAGCACACAACCCTACAGCCTCACTCCTGCAGCTCGACACATACCATGCCTATAGGAACTGCCCTGTATGTTGCGGTGAGCACAGCCACAGTTGGGGAACCATCTGAAAACTCCTTCTGCACAGACCTGCTAGGGCTTTATGGGAGACTTGGAGGAGTTACAGATAGCGAGAGAAGAGTCTGTCCACCTGCTCTCTCTAAACTCCCAGCACCACTGGACTTTCCAATTTGCAATAGGGGACAAGGACTAGCACTGTTTATGCATACTGCCACCTGCTCCTCCTGGCATCAGACTTCCTGCAATGCATCAGGTCTCTGCACTGAACAAGCAGGAAGAGCTCGCTGAAATGGATCATGCACCACCTTGCATGTAAAGCATGCCCAACAGGCAAGGAGGTGTGCCAAGAAGCAGGGTACCTGAGCAGACCACAGCGGCATTTTCCCTGTGGGCACAGGCGTGGGATCCCCAGGAACCAGCTGGGCACTCAGAGAGGGTGTCTTCCATCCCAGAGCAGTTCACACCCTCCAGCCAGAGCAGTCCTCGCCAAAAGTGGGATACTTTGGGAGCTGAGAGAGCCAGCCCACAGCCCAGCTCCCGGCACAGCACTTCAGCATCCTGCATGTCCCAGCCCTCAGCACATACATTGCCCCATGTCTGGTTGTGCAGCACCTCGACTCTGCCTGTGCAGGGACTGGAGCCATTCACCAGCCGGAGGGCAGGTGGCTCTGAAACAGGGAAAAAAAAGAAGAGAGAAAGCACTTGAGATGTTCCTGAGCATCTGATCAGGATGGACCCTTGGGAGATAACTACTGCCAAAGCCACAAGCCTTGCAGAAGGACCAGATCTCCATGAAGAGACCAGCCTTGCTGACAGCCTGCTCTCCTGGAAGAGGAAAGGCAGATAAGGAATCCTGCTGAGCCATGCCGGTCCAAAGTTGAGGGAAAGGACTGTACATCCTGGGCTGAAGTGCTCTCTATGCCAACAATGCAAAAATAACCTACTGTGTGTGCCTGTGGGTGCCCTGCAGGAGCAAGCCAAAGGGCACCAGGAGCAAGGGGTGGTAGCTGTGTACAGGGCACTTTGTGCAGTGGATGCTATCCATGGACTAACTTCAAAAAATGCATTCTCTGCCCTGAAGGTGATAGAGAAGAAAAAGGATGGGGTAGCTGTGCTCCTGAGGGAACAGAAGATGCAAAGACATCTCCAAGACACTCATGAGAAATAGCCAGACCCGGGAGAGTGGGGAGAGGAAAAGAAAACTGGCATCTGGCAACTTGTCTGGGCTCTTTCCACCACCATGGGAGTGAAACAGGCCCCTCTAGGGCAATATGCATCGCACCACTTTGTGTAGGATCAGACCAGACTGACTCTGCAAGTGCCAGTTCCTCGCATGGGTGCTGAAGACTGCTGTCTTGCTGGGCCCAGCTACAGAGAGCAAAACCCCAGGGACGGGAGCCTGTGCATGAGGCTCAGTACTGGGCACTCCCCAGAGCACTGAATGCCTCTGGGTATAAAGCTTCCTGGAGCCACAGCCTCTGCCCTGGGAGGGTGGTTTGACCCCAGACCCAGCCCTGTTCTCCCAGGGTGGTGAAGGACGTGGTATACAGGAGGTGTCCTGCACTGAGCTGGCATGGGGAGGTCAGCAGTGGCCGGCAGCAGCTGGCAACACCCATTGCTGAACCACCACCTTCCCCTTCCCTGACCAGCACCCCTCAGAAATGCAGGGAAATGGCACAGACAAGGGTTACCTGCACACACAACGCTGGCTTCCTCCCCGTGGCTGCAGTTATGAGCTCCCCAAGGCTCGGCACGGCATTCGGAGAGGGCAGCTTCCCTCCCTGTGCAGTGAACTCTGTCCAGCCAGAAGGGACCATATCCCTGCCCAAAGCGAGCCGAGCCGGGGGCAGACAGCGCCGCCCCGCAGCCCAGGTACCAGCACACCACCTCCGCATCCAGCAGGTCCCAGTCGTTGTCACAGACGCTGCCCCAGCGCTGGTCGTGCAGCACCTCCACCCTCCCCGCG